CCCATGAGCAGGATTTCGTAATTTATTCCAACCGCATCTTTTTTTCTAGACAATTCGCGCCAAGACCTGTTGCTAGTCTGTTTTGGGATTTTAGTGTTGCGAAATTAATTTGAAGCTCATATCATTAACATTAGCATGAAGCTCAAGACTAGTACAATTCCTTATTTGGTTCATTTTTTCAGTGAGCCTTTCGAGTTTGGCTTAGCGACTATGTTTTCTGGTAGTGAAAATGAGACCGATGGCTTCTCCGGATTTAAAGAAAGCAAAACTTCCACAATGCAAGGTTAGGCATACCATCTCTTGTTCTTACATATAACTATTCGCAGAGAGCGGTCAGATCGGTTTCGGATCTGCAAATGGTTGGTATTTTTGTAAAAAATTGTTAAAATAATTGAAAAAAGGTTTTTCAACAGCTGGTTTCGGTAACGCTGGAGGAAAAAAGTTTGGAGGTTCGTTGATAGTTTTTTTCGAGCATATATACAACACCAACGCTTGAATAATCTTTTATTTCTAATAATAAGTACAATAAAAAGGGAAAGAGGTGAATTGCTTTGATCGTATGAGAACAAAACAAGTTCAGCCGAGGAAACATGTGGGGAGAATAGTATATTGTATCAATGATACTTGCTTAACAATGTGCCTTATGTGGTAGCTATAATACGGGAGTTATCTGTCCATCATATCTGCACTTTCCTTTTGATTGGGTTTTTGAGTTTTGTCTGGTTGTGCCTGGTTTTTTTGTTGATCGAGTTTCTATTCCTCAATTGATGGTGAATGTTTCAGAAAACTCTTTTGGATCTGTCAATGAGCAAGAACCTCCTGTTTCGGAAGAGAGCATCGGTTTATCAAGTTATGGCAGAAAAGGTGAGAAAATATCTGTACTTTCTGTTAATTTTACTTTGCAGAGGGTGGCTTTGGAGAAGGAGGTGAGTGTTGTGGAGCAGTTTTTAAAACAAAGTTTCAGAGACAGCCATTGATCCATTCAGAGCTGCTTTAAATGATAAAAAAGGTTTGCAGGCAGAAAAAATGACTCAACTGCTTATTTACAGAGGACGGACTGAGACGAACAGGGGACGACGAAAAAGGATTTGAGTCCAAACCTGAAAGCTTCTTACCCGAAGATAGAGGTTTGTTCTATAGAGAAGAGTATCGGTCAACTGTTACAGGAGAAAAGTTTGGAACAAGTTTCGGAAAGAAAGGAGGTATGAGATGTACAGAAATACGGTCTGATTCATTGATTGTAGGCTACGAGTTCGGGGGAAGCAGTTTTGGAGACAGAGGTTTGCCGTTTCTGATTAAAATAAATATGAGATGACCTCATCTTCAAATTGCAGAAGATCGAGTTGAGAGCGGCAGTTTCGAAAATAAAAAAGGTATGAAGTATTACTTATGCTCGCTTTAATTTTCAATTCATAGACGGTGATTTCCAAGAGAAGAAAGGTTAGTTGGTTTTGGAAAGTTTCTTCAAGCCTGAGCTTACAGAAGAAGGTTTCGGTGGGTTTGGATCCGAAGTTGTGGAAAAAATGAGAGGTTTGAAGCAATATACAGCTTTTGTACAATTTTTATTTCTAGAAGTCAATATCGGAGAGAAGAAAGGTTTTTTTAATAAAGAAAGTTCTTACAAGTAAATTGTTCACAGAAGGCGGATTTGGAGCAGATGTCTTCGAAAAAAAGAAAGGTTTGGTTCCAGCTGACTTAACTGCTATTTCATAATTTTAGAAGATAATTTTGGGTCCGGTCATTCCGTAGACGAGAAAGGTTTGCTTACTAAAAAGCTGAGACTCGATGACACTGGAAATTTGTTACAGGAAATGATTTCGGAGCTAGTAGCTTTGGAGAGAAAAAAGGTTCGGGTGTTATGAAATATACCTACAATTCTATTACAGATGGCAGTACCGAGGAGAAGAAAGGTTTGCTTGGTACTAAAGTTCTTCTACGTAATTCGGTTGCAGAAGGTGGATTTGGATCCAGTGGCTTTGGGGAAAAGAAAGGTTTGGTTCTGATTACCTTTACTGGTACTTCCTATTTTCAGAGAGTGGCTTCGGATCCAGTGGCTTCGGAGAGAAGAAAGGTTTGTGAATCATGAAATTTATTTGTAAAGTTGCTTTTATAGAAAGCAGTTTTGGAGAAAAGAAAGGTTCGCTT